CAGGGTATGAAGGAGTTGTTAATTTTTCATCCTCTCTGGGAAGGCAAAGTTCTAATACAGATCACAAGTTTTAAATATGTTCATCTAGTGACATGAAAACTTTTCACAATATATTCTTACGTGAAAAGAGATTATAGAACAGTCTATGGTATTGCTCCAAATTCTGGCAGCTAATATTATACATGCGCAGACATAAACAAAAGGATCTAGAAGAATATACATCAAGGTGCTAGTGGTAGGTAGTTGTAAATATAGAGATTATTGTTATTCTTGTTTTTAATTTTACTTTTTCAGTGCTCTTAAATTTTTGATAGGCAAATACTGCTTTTGTAATGATAAAAAACTTAAAATATTAAGAAAATATTTTTTAATTCTCAGGAACCTAAGATTAGAAATGTAAGCAACAAGCATGAGGTGAGAGAGTGGTTAATGATTAGTATTATTTCAAATAAGTTAATGCTTCCAGAATTGAAGTAGTGCTAACAAGTAAGATAATTAACTTTACCAATATACAGCCTTCTTATCTCCTTTTTAGAATTCTCTTCTATTTCCACATGCTTTGTCTTTTAACCTTTTTCAACTAATCTTTTCCCTTCTCTCATACTTGTCTTTGTAAGTCTTAGTGATACCACACGCATTACATGTGATGCTGCTTGCTTAATACCAATTCTTTCATTTGTTCTCCAACACAGAGCTAAATAAATGTTTACTCTTGACTACATGAATTTTTTAATGCAATGATTTGACATCACTTCTGGGCTATGCTACTTGATCTATGGACCCATTATCAAAATTGTGTAATCTTGTTAAGTTGCTTTTTGTAGATACTAACTTTTTTTTTGTCAGCCAAATCTCAAAGTTATTCAAGCCTTAATTATGGAATTTCAAAAAACAGCAATTTTTGATATGTGTATTATGATTGCAAGATTTTCATAGTTTCCTGATTTCATTCAAAAACTTTATCTTATTCGTAAGTCTTTATAATTGACTCTTTATTTTACTCAGACTTCTTCATGATATATACTTTAACTTTTAGCCTGGGAAAGAATGAGAGAAAAGAGAAGGGGAAGCATGTAACGTGTTTTCTCAATGTGTCCTTTCTTTTAATTCACAGTTTAGAAGTTCAAATATATATTCTGAACATGGAGAAAGTATTTTAATTCTGGCAGCCATTAGTAGCTCATTGGCACTTCAACCTCAGCTGTTCAGAAGCCTGCCATTATGTTGTCTAAAGTTTTTAGGCCTCAAGGAACAACTGGGCTTTACAACAGCCCTGTTTCAGATTTTACATTTCACCTAAAATACAATTATGTGATTAAATATGTTGCCTTCCTGCTAGCCAGAAAGTCTTAACTCATTGTTGTGCTCTTCATTATAGGTAGGATGACCATATAATGTTTGGCCAAACCAAGACGCTTTCACAATGAAAGAGGGTTCTGTTAATAATTATATTAGGATACTAGGTGTGAACTAGGTTATAATTTCTGTTGGCTTTGAGCAGATCCCAACTCACATGATTCAAATGATTTGACCATTTTAACATCACCACACCTGCAAAAACATATCATTTATGTATAACAAATCACCTCCAAATTTAGTGACTCAAACAATTACCATTTTATTAATGTTCATGATTCACTGAGATGGCTAAAAAGGCTGGTACAGCTTGGCCTTTCTCCATATAAATTCTCATCCTTCACAGATCGTTCACCTTCCACATGGATACTATACTCATCTCCATCTTAGGTTCTCAAAAGCTTCACTCCAGTAATAGCAGTAGGCCCTTAATCCAGGATCCTGCCTCTGGATCAGGCAGAGATGCAAGTGTAGCTCCTTGATGTGGCTGCTTTTATGTGTTCCCACACACCGAACAGTGGTGCGGCAAGGGCAGGCAGAGAACCAGAATCAGTACCCCCTTCAAAATGGGAAGAAGAAGAATCATACGGCTCTACCCGGTTCATAGCAATTTTGAACCCCACTGGATACATGTTGCGAGGTCACCTATTTGGGGGGTCAGGGAATGTTCTTTGATTAGGGCCCAGCTTTATTTTCTCTGGATCTGTCAGAAGTTCATTTTCCCTTAGGCTTCTGGCTCTGTTCTCTGGGCTTCTGGCTCTGTCCTCTGGAGATTTCCTTTCTTTTCCATAAGAAACCGCCATTTTGAAGCTGAATAGCTTCTCAGCCTGCCTTCTTGCTATGGAAAGTTGGGGACTCAGAGAAGGATTTTCATTTTTAAGTGTCTCTGTGCCAAATAACCCAACTGTATAGCACCCTTAAATTTTTTTTTAGGCTGTCTATATATCAGATTATAGTTTAGTCTATTAGATAAAGGCCCACTCACAGTTTTTTCAAATGTACAGTTTCCCTACATTGACTTTTCAGAGTACTGTGGGACCAGTTCCATTTTTTGAAAGATACAGTATATAAATCTTAGTGTACAGCTTGATGAACTTTCACATGTGTATATAGTCATCTATCCATCATTCTGATCAAGATACCAAACTTTCCACTAATTTTCTTTTTCTTTCTCCTATTTCACCCATTCCCTCATCTGCTCTTCCCTATAGTAACCACCAGTCTAGTCTCTGTGTTTATGAGTCCATATCAGTTTTGTTTGTTCATTTGTTTGTTTTGCTTTTTAAATTACACATATAAGTAAAGTCATATGATATTCACCTTTCTCTGTTTGACTTCACTTAGCATAATACATTATAGGTCCATCCATGTTGTCGCAAATGGCAAGATGTCATTCTTTTTTATGACTGAGTAATATTGTATTACCATTGTGTGTGTGTGTGTGTGTGTGTGTGTGTGTGTGTGTATATATATATATATATATACACATGTTTAATATATATATATATATATACCACATCTTTTTTATCTATTCCTCTATTGATGAATATTTAGCTTGTGTCTATATTTTGACTATGCTGCAGTAAACATAGGAGTGAATATATTTTTCAGATTAGTGATTTTATGTCTTTGAATAAATTCCCAGAAGTGAAATTGCTAGGTTGTATGGAATTTCTACTGTCAGTTTTTGAGAAACCTCCATACTGCTTTCCATAGTGGCTGTACCAATTTGCAATCCCACCAGCAATGTGTTAGTGCTCCCTCTTCTCCACATCCTTGCCAACACTTGTTATTTTTTGTCTTTTGGGTAGTATCCATTCTGACTGGTCTGAGGCGATACCTCATCATGGTTTTGATTTGCATTTCCCTGAGGATTAGTGGTATTGGGCATCTTTTCACATGTCTGTAGACTATCTATATGTGTTTGTTGAAAAAACACCTATTTAAGTCTTCTGTCCATTGTTTAATCAGGTTATTTGGGGGTTTTTCATGTTGATTTGTATGAGTTCTTTACATATTTTGGATATTAGCCCTTTAATCAGATTTATCATTTGCAGGTATGTTCTCAGTACATAGGATGCCTTTTTGTTTTGTTGATGGTGTTCTTTACTCTGCAGAAGTTTTTTTTTTTCAAAAGAGTTGCCACAACCACATCCTTAATTTGATCTTTGACTGCAGGCCTTTTTTTACTTTGGAAATACTTACAAGCAAGTCTTGTGTCCTCTATATTCTCTTTAAATTTTGCTCACAAACTGTACCTCTTCTTATTTACCTCATCTCTGTTTTAACATCAGCTATGAGAAGCCAATTAACACAGTCAGCGTTCTGACTGGAAATCTCGTTAGCCAGATTCACAAGTTCTTTAAGTATATTTCCTCTATTCCAGGTTACTGAGGTGATAGTCCTGTCAAATGTTTCACTATTACATGTCATAGATTGTTATTTTTTCTCCAGCTTGCAAAAGCAGTTTGTCATTATGAATTTCTTTCAGCAATACATGGTAGTTCCAGTGTACAGGATTTAGATGTATTTTATTAAATATTTTACAATGAATTTTATATTTTGGAGTGCTGTTGTAAATGGAGTTGTATGTTTTATTTCAGCTGTTCTTTGCTAGTATGTAGAGGTAAAACCAACTTGTGTATATTGACCTTACATCCTATGATCATGTTGAAATTCATGTATTTTTTTCTAGTGTATTTTTTATAGATTCCTTAGTGTTTTCCATGTAAATGATCATATGTATACAAATAAAAACAATTTACTTCTTTCTTTCTAATCTGCATTCCTAATTTATCTTTTTCTTGCTTTGTTGTAATAGCTAGAGTCTCCAGCATAATGTTAAATAGAAGTGGTGAGCATGGGTATCCTTGTTATCTCTGATCTTAGGGGAATAGCTTTCAAGCTTTCATTGTTAAATGTGTTATTAACTGTGGATTTTTTATACATGTCCTTTATTAGGTTGAGGACGTTTCTATTCCTAGTTTACTGGGAAATTTGGTTATGAATAGGAACATTTTACAGTACATTAATTATACCTCAATTAAAAAACCGAGTTAATAAAAACAGTATTATGTGTACTAAAACATGGACAGAGCAGTGTTGTCTCATATCTATCAATTTTAGAAAAAATTAAACTTTGTAATAAAAAGATTAAGAAAAAATATAGTCAAGGCTTAAAATTATTTTTAGCATCAACTATCGTATTAAATATATGATCAAAATGTTTGTCAAACGTTTTGCTTTTAGAACAGAAAATAAATCTGAGAAAGGATTTGCTATATTTCCATTTCCTAAGCTAATATAATACTTCAAAACCCAGCATTATTTTTCTGTATAATAAACTTTGCTTGTAAAATCTGAATAGAGCTTTTCTAATTATCTGAGAGATAATGAGAGATTTTATTCCTTTTTTCCCTTAGAATAAGGCAGAGTGTTTTTAATGTTTAGTGATTATTTTTCTTATTGTCATATTAATACTGTAGTTAGATTCTATATAATACTAAATAATAACACTGTCTGAATCAGTATGGAAACATTTTATTTCTATTCCCATTCCTATTATACAGAGGAGGAACTGAGGCTCAGAATCAGTAACTGACTTGACTATAGTTATTTCCTCTCTGGTAACTTTTTTTATCTAGGAGTTACTTAAAGATCCGCTGTACATTGGACTGCGCCAGAGAAGAGTGAGAGGGCCTGAGTACGATAGTTTCTTGGATGAATTCATGGAGGCAGTTTCTTCCAAGTATGTAGGATCTCTATTTTATCTATATTTGAGTTAAATTAAAAAAAATTAAAGATAACTAACATAATAAACTATAGGAATATCCAAGTTTGGTGTTGTATCTTTAATAATTAGAACTGATTTGAATGAAACACTCACACACACACATACATACCCCTGCCTACATAATTATTAGTGGCCAAATGATAACATCATGTGTCTATCCCAAAAAAGGTTGTCTCTGCTGCTATCCCTGGAGATACTTTTCCCTTCTAAGAGTTGTTAGATCCTGTGATTAATGAAATGCATGATTGTCATGAATGAGGCAGTGGCCAGTGATTAAATTCCCTGAGCAAGACTTTTTGTAGTAATTGGCAGTCTGTGCTTTCTTTCTGGCTGGTGATCAAAATTTGATCTTTAGTCATCTTTGTGTGTATATATATATGATCTTTTTGTGGTAGGAGAAACAGAGGAAGTGGGGACTGAGCATGAGTTAGTGTAATCCACAAGGTCCAGAAATAAAGTAGGAACCAGGACAGCCAATCACAATCATGAATCTCTGGTTAAGTGTACAGTATTTGATTAAAATATAGTACATTACTATATTTCACCTAGTTTAGGTAACATTTAATTGGGGGCCAAGTCCTACTGTAAAATTCTCCAATTTTTTTCCTTCCAAGAGCTGACTTCCATCATAATTTAGTAATATGTCCTGAAAGAATTTTGTTACATTAACAGACAGACATCCCATTTATTACTCTATAGACACAGAAACCACATACTATTTAAATATATGTATGTTGCCTTGGTTTTTCATAGAAATAAAATAAACTCATCACTAGAATCAATTGTAACTACAGACATACTTACGGTTTCTTTTTATTTTTTAAGGTTTAATTTCAAGAAGTTGTATCCAACAGCAGAAAATACCTTCATTAGCTTGCACAGTATTTAGAGTATATTGAATATCTCATTACCCAAGATTTTTGTGTAGTGTGCCAATAACTATGCACTATGTTTTAAAAATGCATGCTTTATTTATTTGTTATTTATTAACTTGATTAAGCTGTACTTATTCATAGAAATAGTTGAGAAATTCTGTTTAAGTTCAAGATTGTATGTACAGTTAGTTAATTTGTAGTAGTTTTTCATATTTAATTATAAATTCCTCACTCTGTAAAACTTATACAATGTTTTGAAATCATCTGTAACTTCCCAGGTAGCAACATTAATCAAGAGATTGTATAGATAGTATTATGAGACTGTATAAAAGAAAAGGAAAATGCAGTCCTCAACATACTTTTTAAATTGTCTTTTGTGTAAAAAGAGTCTGTCTTTATATATACAACTTCAGTATACTTCCAATGAAGCTGTTAAACAAGTCATGAACATACTATGTGTGGCCTATATACTTAGATGCTGATGAAATAAAAATAGGATAATTCCATTTGGAATCAATGAAAAGCTTTTTGGAGAAAATGAGATATGAGCTGGCTTTGAATGCTTTGTGTCGATATAGGATCAGAAAAACTTTCTTTTTTTTAATATTGAGGGGTTACCTAAGATCTTTGATAGGAAAATGGCAATGGACATGAGTCAACACCTGTAAACTGGGAGTTATATTTCTGGGCTCTTCCCAGAGAAGAATCCCAAAGACATTTTTTTTTTTTCTTCAGAGATACATGGGTTTATTTCTGGACAGACTCAACTTGTTTTTTTTCTTATTTATTTATTTATTTATTTATTTATTTATTTATTTATTTATTTATTTATTTATTTATTTTTTCTTTTTTCCTTTTTCTTTTTCTCCTCTTTGTCTCCTTGTTTCTCTTTGTCATGGCAGCTACTGCTAGCAATTTACAACTTTTGCAATTAGACTAATCA